GACCATCTAAGCCCGTATTTGAACATGACGACGTTGAGTATCTTTGGCACCTGTTACAATTATCACAACGTCATAGGCGGACAAAATATCTTAAATTCTACAGCATCCGAAGGAAATTATTTTTTAAAGTATTTTTTTTAAGTATTTTTATTTACTTAGTCAAAATGACTAACACAAATAGGCGGTCATCGACCTTAATAATGGAAATACATGACAGAGAAAACCACTGTAAATATATACTTCTGAATGAAACATTAAGAAATATAAATGATATAAAATGCATATTTTTATTTTCCGTATTTTCACTGTAAAAATTTATTTTTCACTACAATGAAACATATTTTCCGTATTTCACTGGTGAATTGTCGGACTACTTTCTTCTAAATTCTTCCAGTATACAAAATTTAAGGGAAAGCCTCTCAAAATCATGTCAAAAAAGAGAAAATTGTATATAATAAACAGAAAATTCAAGTTTTTATCTATAAATACAGGATTTATTTTCATCTTGCGGTATGAAAATTATCATATTTCATACCACTCGATGGAAATAAATCCAGTATTTATGTAAAAAAAACTTGAATATCCTCTATCTATTTATGGAGATATTACATATAAGTAACAAGAAAGTAAATGAATATGAATATACAATGTTGATACATAAGGAGCTGTTATTTGTGTATGTTTATCATATGAGAGATATTAATTGTAACTATCAGAAAGAATCTTAGCTGTGGTAACAGCAGCGGTGTAGTTAGTGTAACACTATGCACCGGCCGGTATGCAAATTAGCGAATTATGATTTCTTCCCAAACTAGCTACAAGAAACGTATTGTGTGCACCAATTTTATTAAAGTATAAAGGCAAATCCGACTCCATCGCCTCTTCCCGTAAATATTTTTTAACATTATTATTTTAGTTTATATACAATATTTTTGTTTCATTATATAATTGTTGTTGTTACCTTCTCTTGTTGACCGGTACATGTATAATCACTGTTAAATATTGCAATTATTAAGTTGTTTGTGGATTCATTTCTTTAGATAGTTAAAATCATACATCTTATTCAAACTTTAATGTAAAAATACGGATAAATTTGTTTCATGTTAAAAACCAATACTTTTTGGGGGCAAGGGACTATCCATCGAAATTTACTTTTCCACCTTAGACTAAGTCTTTATCTTTTAGTTTAACACATTTACTTATGTATTTGAAATAAACAAGTTGCACATTCACTTATTAATGGTCAGCTACATTTGTGTACTTTATTATAATTATACAGTATGTCACACACTTATACTTCTCTAAACATCATACATGATGTTTGTAATGATATGGAACCTTTGGTAAACATGTAGTAATACATTGCCGTGTTGTCGGTCGTACCTGGTGAAAAATATACACCATTTAAGTTTACAGTCGCACAGTAGTAGTTATACCACCATCCTGCCTTAAACATTTGTGAACAGTTGTTATAGGTATCATGATCGAATGTACTGAACGAATTACCAGCTTGATAATACATACCTTCCGTACCATTGTCTCCTGAAAATATAAGAGAATTTACCTTAAAATTAACAAACAATATGCTGAATGTGCACAATCTTTAATCAGTTTTACGTACAATCAGAAATAAATTTGTACAACTTTTGGACATCTAGTTTACTTAACATTTAAATGATTTGATAGACGAGAGTTGGAAACAAATATAAACAATTTAGACGGACGGATTAACAGATGAATGGATTGTTTAAGTCATAGAATCATTTTATAAGTCATATCATTTTATAGCCTTTGATACAGCCGGTAAAAAATAGTGAGGGAAAATTAGTATCTGCTTATTGTACCTAGTCACATGATTAACCATATAAACGGAGTAATGACATATCTATAATGAACAAAACTATGATGGTCTGTTGTGGGCAAACCCGCGAAAATGTCGCGGGCAACTTACTCACCCAAAAGATTTTATTCCGAAATCTTACAACATGTCACGGAGAACGTATAAACCTCGATATTTTCAAACAGTTGTAGGGAACAGGAATGAAAGTTTGTCTCCAGTGACCGGTGGCGTTTATTGTTTGACTCTACATTTTTATCCCTCATTTGTTTATAAAAAACTCAGAAACAGAAAGAAGTCCGGGACATTTTTGCAAATGTTGTAGAAATTCTACAAAAAGTCATGGTAAAAAGTTATATGCTGCGACATCATGTTCGTCAACAACGGCCATATTAAATATCGATGCGAGTAATAGCAATTTCCAGCAGCGACTTTTTGCGCATAGACGTTTATTTCCTCGCAAAAAAAGTCCAGGCTTAATGCGACTTTTTACAAGTGATGCATCAAAACAAAGTATCACGAATAATAATGGCTACAAGCGGCCTCATAAAGTAGGCATATTTCTGCGTTGGTTAGTCTAATGTAGACAGAAAATGTCTCGGATTCATTCGTAAAAATTAAACTTTCTACGACAGAAGTGTGACAGAAACACTCGAGAGTTTCTATAAGTCACGACATTTTATACACTTTTGACATAAAATCTCGTCGATATAAAAGCTGCCCGCAACATGTTATAAACTGACGGTAAAAATGATCGCATTTGTAAAATAGACGCTACCGGCCACCGTACAAAACATTACAAAGAAAAAGCAGTTATGGTATTTCCTATGTCAATGTCAATTAACAAAATAATTGAATTCAAACCTATTGAGCCATGACCTGGTGAAATATTCAAATTGTAGTCCGGGCCAGCTGATATGGCAAAGTTTGGGAATGTTGCATACCCTTTAGACCAATCCGCCGCTGTTACATCTATTCGAAGTTCGTAGTTACCTTGACTTACAAGTTCGTGAAGATTTTCTAGGCCTGTTAAAGATAATGATGATGCTATTATGTCACGTGATTCATTGTCATGCTACCATGGAAGAGCAGCATACTCAATTAACTGTAGCAGAACGTTATAGTTAAATTATAATTATTTACTTTCATTTTAGTATTGCAAATACACATAATCATGACATACTGCACAGATGTAATGTGCCTAAATAATACGGGGTATATTGCAAGTGCTCTTCTGTTTGGTTGCATCGCTTGAGCTGTGTTAAGTTGTAGTGAAATACAGCTTTATCCAACCAATTAGGATGATGCAGTCCCACAAATAGCATATTGTGCAATTTTCCCTTTTAAATATAACTTATAAATGCGTAACATGTATTCGCACTATATTCAGTTTTGGAGTTATTGCACATGTTTGAATACATGTTGAGTTGTAGAGAGCGCGAATCTACCATTGATTTGAATAAGTTGAAATGGACTCGTGTTTTGAAATGAAAAACATTTTACATAATGTTTGACACATTACTCATGCAAGTCGGTGGATAAAGGTTTTGAACAGGAATGCCCATTTTTCATATGTCTTCACTTCAGAAAACATATCGATATAAATTATTATTTAAAATCAGTTCAAATGGCATGCCTTCAGAAAAGACAGAAAAAGAAAGACATGATCTTGAAAATAATGTATTTAAAATATATGATTTAAAATATATTTGTAATTACATGTACATATAAATTTTAAGATTTTTCTAGTAACAAAACATAGATATCTGCATAGATCTCTGCATACAAATACGGGGTTTTATGGAGTTATGAAACTTGACATATGTAATGTGGACAGAGAACACATCAAAGTATAGGCAAATCGTTATAACATGATCAAAAAAACAGAGGATAATTTTTAAGATGTATATATATGGTATATTTATTTCCCTTTAACTATTCTGTGTGGTTTGACATTCATTTGTCAGTTACTTAATTAAAGCGGTCGTAAGCTTTAATTTTTTGTTTGAAAAACAATTCTAACAATTCTGTGCTGTTTCAAACTCAGTATTTTAGTAAATTCATCTTGGAAAAGTGCATATCACTGTTAACCATCTACAAAACATCGTTCCACGTGTAAATGACGTTTGTTTCTAAAAATAGAAGTTCGGGGAAACGAATCTTCCGCTTTACAAATTTAAATATTGGGAGCGAACCGGTAGTTTAGAGGTATCGAAAGGTTTCATTATTGTTTATGTATTTTATTTCATCGTCGGTAAATTTCATTTTCCACTTTTTCTTTTGATTTGACAATCAATTTATCTAAAAATAACATTTAACCTTTAGAAGATCTAAATGCTGCTCTAAAGATGTATAGAAGAAAACATTACAATCAATGTCCATGTGAAATACAGACAACATGCCCAATTGTGATTGGAATCATTTTTTAAACTTTGAAGTTAAAAATTTAAAATATAGTCAGTTATAAATCAAAATTAAGGGTTTTTGCTTTTAGAGGAAAGTATTCTTTTAAAAACATTGGTGTGGAAAGTTTAGATATTTCTATTTTTTATCGTTAATTCATGCCATAAAACTGATGACAAAGAAACAAATTTACATTTTTCAAATGGAATTTTAAGTTCAAAGGGTAGACCTGTATTGTTAAATTGCACGTATAAGTTTCAGAGTAATGAATTTTGTTTAATTTCTTAAAAGAAATTAAAGCAATACACGGAACAAAATTATGAAATTTTAGATACAATTCATGACTTCTCCTGAAATATATGTACCAACTACAAAATATTTCTTATAGAGGCAAGGATTATGAACAATGATTTTAATTTTTAGTAACGCCTTTAAGTAGTCAAAACGATTAAGCAAAGTTGATGATATACATTCAGCTGTTACAAAATAACAATAATGCATCATTGCATAAAAATAAAATTCTAAATAGCAACTTCGGAACATTTCATTCTGTTCACGGACAGTAGCCATATGTATAAATAACCATCCCGAATCCCATGTAGATGTATATTGAAGCAGAACCTTTTCTTTGTTAACTGTTAAGAATCGACTTTAAGATTAGGGAAGCAATATTATGTTACTGTATATAAATTTATAAAAAATATTTCAGAAGATAAATAGCTTTATAATTTTTAAAGTCTTATACTTTAACAATGATAAAAAACTAATGACTCTGCTACATGGTACATGAATATATATATACATTGTATATATTACCTAGCCAGAATTCTTTATGAATGTCTCCAAATCCATTGACGTATTCTGAGAAGTTCCTGGTAAAGTTGACAGAGCCATCAAATCGATTTTGAAAAACCTGAAAATATGCACTTTTTTCACAAATTTTATGTCAGCCATATGTAAAACATTTGTTTAAATAAACGCTAATTTTAACCGTTTTAAGGTGTTCTAACAAAATTAACAATATTCCATTATTTCGCAGACATTGCAGACTTATTTATTACTTCGCAGTTCAATTACAGCATAAACACAGTGCTTACAAGTCATGCGGCATGAAAAGAAAATGAAGTTATGAAATCAACTTCAAATTTTAAGGCTTTATAAATTGATATATCAGAAAATTAAAATAATGTTTTGGAAAAGGGTATTACATGGTCTTTAATTCACACCTTTCTACTGTTCATGAACTAAATACATAATCTATACTTTAAATTATCCATTCTTAGATAACCTTTCAGAAAATAACTCTTTTTATTCTGAAGATATAAGCCAAATCACATTATTCACTTGGTTTGATTGACATAAAGAAAGAGACACCGAGGGGCATCGCCTTGAACGGACAGGAGCAAATCAAAGCTTGGGATTAAAACCGGTCTAGATAAATTCATACCGTCCAACCTCCACCGACTGTCGTCATGTCACAGTAAACCTGGATTGTTCTGTTAGTTTTCCATGTTAAAACACTGTAAACACCGTCTGTTGCGTTAACATTGTGATGTTTTATGGCTGAACAATCTGCCTGCAACTCTACAGCAGATAAACAAAATCGATTAAGAATCCTTTTGATGCAGAAATACATCAAAAGATATTAGTGAAATACAAAACAAAATTAATGAACATTTTTCTCATTATGCATTAAGTATAGTATAAGAATGCGATAACGCTATTCCTGTAAATTAAAGACAGGTTGATTACTTTATTGTGATGCTTTCACACAATCCAAAAACGCTCAAAGCGACAAAATTGTAAATGTTGCAGGCCCGGTTTGATTGATGGACAGTTATGTAAGTACAAGTGACATTGTGGTAGCTTATCTGTGATATGCAATCTTCATAACCTCTGATCGCCTTTTTAAATTTTATTTAGTTTCGCTCACACGCATTCTTTTACTTGGGGACGATACGCCGCTTTTCGTGCAATGACACGGAAGTGCCACATTGAAGGTTGCATGATGACAACCTTAAGTATGAACACATCTGCTGATGTTTCTAAATCATCACCATGATTAAATGTTGAATTCTGCTTGGGGCGTGGGCGGAAACTTGTATATATTGGTGTTATTTCGGCTAACTCATTTCTTTGTTGACTGTCTTTGTTTTTACTAATGAAATTGATGCTTCGTAAAAAAAAAACATACAAAAAAATGATATATGTTTTAAACATAGTATCATTTGTTCGATTTGATTCTTTCATATATAATGTAAGGCCTCAAAAGGATTTCACTTACTGATTTCACAGTTGTTTCCGGTAAATCCTGTTTCGCATGCACATGTGTAGTTATTAATACCGTCAATACAGGTACCATATGTTCCACATAACCCAATCAAACAATCATCTATATCTTTAAACATTAAATTATTGATTGTGTTTTACTTAATATTCAATATATCTTATTTATCATCAAGAAATGATATTACTTGAAAAAAATATAAGAAGAAAAAAATAACAATTCAATACACACATGTTTTTTTAATAGTTTCAAAAGCGCAAATAATAATTACTTAATTGTAGAAAAGGTTACATTTAGCCAAGTTATCTTTTTAGAATGTTTAAGGAATTAATTTCCCTTAAAGACCAGACCAAATTTATTGTGGTGTTATATGTTCATGTTTGTCTTTTGTCCTTTTGTTACGGGTGATTGAACTGGTGTTGCAAGTTAAGTGATGGATGATTGATTTTTGTATGCAAATTATTTTTAGATGATATGGTTCTCGGATAGCTAATATTTCTTGGTAATTGACCACTCCTTTCTTTGCTTCCAAAATAATAGGCTTGCTTTAATATATCTTCACTATATCTCAGTTATTTCTTGATAGAAATACTTGATATCTAGATTCAATTTATTTAAAATTAGATTTCTTCTATTAAAAATCCAGGTATGTATATATTTATTTATTTGTGAAAATGTTCTTATTGTAATTTAAATTGTTGACTAATATTTTGTATTACATATTTTGTGAAATATATTTGTCATGTAAATATTTGTTTTGTAATGTGATGTCATATTGTTATTTTATTTGTTACAGGGTTTTATTCTTTATAGAATAAATATCTATATAAATCTCATTGAGTTTTTGTCAACTAAACCCCTCCACTACATAAATGTAACATGGTAAAACATAATTGATATGCGCTGTAATTCTATAAATAAAAGGGCGATAGGAACTATTTGCAAATGCGTATGCAGATTTTGATAATGTTAGGTTTTCGGCAGATTGCTTTGAAAAACAATGATAAGAGAATTAACGGCATAATCTATCGCCAAGCCCTAACGAGCCCCCGTCCAAAACATTTTTTCTTTCTTCAAACTTATTAATCTACTTATTCATCAGACATACCTGTTTCACAATTCAACCCAGAAAATCCAGGTGCACAAACGCAAATGTACCAATTTATTGTGTCATAGCAAGTGCCGCCGAAGCCACAGGGGTTTGAAATGCATTCATCGATGTCTGTTTATAAAAAAGATTTTATAATCATTATATGCTACATGCAATCGCGAGTTTGACTCAATGGGATACCTTGTTCAAATTCATCCTTAGTGTGAAGCTATCAACGTCACAACTTTCTCAATTTCTAATTAATTTGTCTTTCCAAAATGTTATATATTGGAGTGTTTTTTTCGGCCAACGTGTTTCTGTGTTAACTGCCTTTCCTTAACTATTGAAAGTGACGCCTTTCTAAAACGTACGGAAAGACTGATATATGTTAAAAATATAGTATCTTTAATTTGATTTGATTCTTTCGTTTATGCTGTAAGTTCTCAAAAAGATTTCACTTACTGATTTCACAGTTGTTTCCGGTATATCCCGTTTCGCATGCACATGTGTAGTTATTAATGCCGTCAATACAGGTACCATATGTTCCACATAATCCAATTAAACAATCATCTATATCTTTAAACATTAAATAATTTATTGTGTTTTATTTTATATGCAATACATCTTATTTATCATTAAGAAATGATATGACTTGAAATAGAAATAAGAATGATAAACATAATTCATTCAATACAAACATTTTGTTTCTATCAAATAGTTTCAAAAGCGCAAATAATATTTTCTTAAATAAAACAAGGTAAAACATCATATTATATGCGCTGTAATTCTATAAATATAGGGGCGATTGAAACTTTTGGAAAATGCCTAAGTAGGGAAAAAAACATGATGAGAGAATTAACAGCATAATTTTGAAAATAGCTTCTTATCTATGGCCAAACACTATAACGAGCCCCGGTCCAAAACCATTTTTCTTCCAACTTATAAATCATCACATTGTATGATACATACCTATTTCACAATTCAGCCCGGAAAATCCAGGTGCACAAATGCAATTGTACCCATTCATTGTGTCATAGCAAGTACCTCCGAAGCCACAGGGGTTTGAGGTGCATTCATCGATGTCTGTTAATATAAATTAGTATATAATCATTATGTGCCTGATTGAATCGGTGTTGTTGCAAATTTGTGTCGACAGGTCTTTTCCTTTTAAATTTAGCTAAGTTAAACATGAGCAGTGATGATGAGGCGTTCGAAGTCTCGGGACAATACTGAGTGAAACTAAGAAACGTTCAGGAAATAAAGTTCTGGCCGAGAAGAACTCTCTAATTCATTATTAATTTATTAATGTATTGCTAAGATATAATGGGCTTATGTATATCTCTGGTTTTGACCTACTCATTATATAGAATTATCCATAATAGCCTATAATAAATACTCCGGAATGTCTACTAGATATGTTGTTCACTGTTTTTTTCCTTTAGTTTTCCCGCCCGCTTAGATCAATAAAAAAAACATTGGATTAATTATCTGCGGTTCGATAGTTCGATCCTTGGGCTAGGAGAAATGTCTACATGATAATTGATCTTTGACAATGAGTCTAATGATCATCCGCTAGCGCTTATTCTGATACCATGTTGAATTAGTAGTCGGTTATAACAGTTCAGTTATCTACGAAATGGTAGCTGGATCGACCGCCGACATATAACTTCATAATCTGTTTTATTAGACACAGAAACATACGGAGCCCCTAAGGTGACATTTTCGACATTATTTTCCCGGCATTTAATTCGTTTTTACGAAATATTCATTCTCAATTACGAAATATGAATTCGTTTTTTAGGAAATATTAATTCGTTTTTACAAAATATTAATTCGTAAATACGAAATATTGATTCGTAAATACGAAATATTCATTCGTATTAATGAAAAATTAATTTGTTTTTACGAAATAGTCATTCGCAATTACGAAATATTAATTCGTTTTTACGAAATATTAATTCGTTTTTACGAAATATTAATTCGTTTTTACGAAATATTAATTCGTTTTTACGAAATATTAATTCGTAATTACGAAATATTAGTTCGTTTCTACGAAATATTAATTCGCAATTATAAGCCAAATGGTTCTCAAGTTATTTATTTTAGTCATTCTCAATCCAAAATATCCTCTTTCATCCCATTGTCAAATACATTCTCTCATCAGCAATGTTTTAATTTTAGAGGCGATTAATCTTTTTTGACATGTTTCTTTAAAAAAAAAACATGCTATATTATTATTAATTTTTCTTTTATCATATACATTAGTAAAACTAAAAGGGGGCTCCGGATTTTCACTATTCTAATCAATTTAAAAACGTATATGTCCTTACAATTTATGTATGGGCACTGTGCTTTCATAAAAAACAAAATATTTAATTTCAAAACTCAATAATTTCTACAAAACGAAACAGAAAATAAAATTGTCCGTGTTTGGATTTGAAGCACAGGACCCCCATTTTAACAAAATTCCTAGCGCGTGTACTATCACGGCTGTGGCTGCAAGGCTATTAACAAGCGATTATTTGAATTTATATAAATAGTGTTAAGTTATAAAACTTGAGGATAATAAACAATCATTTTTTATATTGCATTTACATGCCTTGTATTTAGTCAGGAACTAAGTTTCAAGGCATTCTTTATGAATTTTACCAGAACTCTTTGAAACCCTAGAAAAATTTAATTCGTTTTTGCAAAGTATTATTCCGTATTTACGAAATAACATTTCGTTTTCCAAATTTATATTTCGTAATTACGAAGATATATTTCGTAATAACAAATAAATATTTCGAAAAAACGAATAAATATTTCGTTATTACGTATTATTATTTCGTAAAAAAAAAATTTAGTTCCGGGAAAAAGTATAGAAAATGTCACCTTAGAGGCTCCGTAGAAGCAGGAACAACACATACAAATTTTTTTCAGACAATTTCATTAACGTTAAGCAATATCAATAGGCTATACGCGTCACAACTTTTTCAATTGTGTCCAATTCATTTTGTCGTCTCAAAAATGTTATATATTGGACTGTTTTATTTCGGACTACCTTTTTCTTTTGTAAGCTGTGTTTGTTTTTACTATGAATGACATTTTTGTTAAACAAGAGCACCGCTAGGCGGAGCATTATATGCCCGAAAGCGTTTTTTTTTAGTAAGGATGAAGCATTCGCAAGACATGGGAATTAGCTGTTCATCCTATAAAATTTTACACCTGTAGGTTGATCAATACTTAAGTTATTAATAATGACCTTAACCTTTAACCTTGTGACCCCAAAATCAATAGGAGTCTTTCACCTTATATGGACAATCATCCTAAGAAGTTTGAATAGTGTGGGCCAATTTGAACTTTAATTATGCTCTAGAAACTGTTTTCAGTATAAAGGTAAAAGTAACTTTGACCTTGTGACCCCAAAATCAATAGGGGTCTTCTACCCAATGTAGACAATCATCCTATGAAGTTTGAATATAGTGGGCCAAATGGAAGTTAAGTTATGCTCCGGAAACTGTTTTTGGTTTTAAGGTAATTGTGACCTTGACCTTTGACCTAGTGACCCCAAAATCAATAGGGGTCTTTTACCCAATATGGACAATCATCCTATATAGTTTGAATATTGTGGGCCAAATGGAACTTAAGTTACGCTCCGGAAACTGTTTTCAGTTTTAAGGTTATAGTGACCTTAGCCCTTGACCTTTTGACCCCAAAATCAATAGGGGTCTTCTACCCAATATGGACAATCATCCAATGAAGTTTGAACATTATGGGCCAAATGGAACTTAAGTTATGCTCCAGAAACTGTTTTCAGTATCAAGGTAATAGTGACCTTGACCTTTGACATTGTGACCCCAAAATCAATAGGGGTCTTCTACCCAATATGGACAATCATCCTATGAAGCTTGAACATTGTGGGCCAAATGGAACTTACGTTATGCTCCGGAAACTGTTTTTGGTTTTAAGGTAATTGTGACCTTGACCTTTGACCTAGTGACCCCAAAATCAATAGGGGTCTTTAACCTAATATGGACAATCATCCTATATAGTTTGAATATTATGGGCCAAATGGAACTTAAGTTACGCTCCGGAAACTGTTTTCAATTTTAAGGTTATAGTGACCTTGACCTTTTGACCCAAAAATCAATAGGGGTCTTCTACCCAATATGGACATTCATCCTATGGAGTTTGAACATTGTGGGCCAAATGGAACTTAAGTTATGCTCCAGAAACTGTTTTCAGTATCAAGGTAGTTGGGACCTTGACCTTTGACATTGTGACCCAAAAATCAATAGGGGTCTTCTACCCAATATGGACAATCATCCTATGAAGTTTGAACATTGTGGGTCAAATGAAACTTATGTTTTGCTCCGGAAATTGTTTTAAGGATCAAGGTAATAGTGACCTTCACCTTTGACCTTGTGACCCCAAAATCAATAGGGGTTTTCTACCAAATATGGACAATCATCCTATGAAGTTTGAACATTGTGGGTCGAATGGAACTTAAGTTATGCTCCGGAAACTGTTTTCACTTTTAAGGTTAAAAGTGACCTTGACCTTTGACCTTTTGACCCAAAATCAATTGGGGTCTTCTACCCAATATGGACAATCATCCTATGGAGTTTGAACATTGTGGGCCAATTGGAACTTAAGTTATGCTCTGGAAACTGTTTTCAGTATCAAAGTAATAGTGACCTTGACCTTTGACCTTGTGACCCCAAAATTAATAGGGGTCTTCTAGCTAATATCAGAGACATAGATAACAGAGATAAGCAGCTCCTATATACTACATTGAAATATCACTCATGCCTATAAAAAAGTGGAAAATTAGGCATTTTGTAGCAAATAAAACTTAATGGATGTACATTTGATCCTTTAATATTATATACCATTTGAAAGGTAAATCTTTCATCTATGGCTGCATGTTAAAATATTGGTAACTTTCCATGCCTTTCACTTAGAAAAACATGGCAGAACATACCCACTGAGCCAGTTTTTTGTCATATAAATAGTTTTGTAACAAAAAATATTAAGTAGTTCTCTTTAAAAAATGATACAACATCTATTAAAATGGGAACTGTAAATATTTTTACCTGCAGCCATAGACAAATGCATAAGCTTTCAGAAAATGTATTATTTTACTGATTTTGATATCTGGTTAATAAGTTTTACTTGCTACAAGTTTTAAGTTTAGTAGGCACGCGTGATATTTTAACTGGCTAGGAAGTAGCCTATCTCTGTTATCTATGTCTCTGCTAATATGAACAATCATCCTATGAAGTTTGAACATTGTGGGTCGAATGGAACTTAAGTTATGCTCCAGAAACTGTTTTCAGTTTTAAGGTAATAGTGACCTTGACCTTTGACATTGTGACCCCAAAATCAATAGGGGTCTTTAACCCAATATGGACAATTAACCTATGAAGTTTGAACATTGTGGGCCAAATGGAACTTAAGTTATGCTCCGGAAACCAAATTGCTAACGGACTGACGTACGGACGGACAGACAGACAGACAGACAGACGGACGGACGGACGGACAGACAGACGGATGCCAGGGGGTATAACATATTATGCCCTTTCAGGCATATACAAAGGAAATAAAGACTGATATATGTTTTAAACATGTTATCGTGTATAAGAACATATAAGATAATTATTCTTTCGTATATGATGTAAGACCTAATATGAATTTTACTTACTGATTTCACAGTTGTTTCCGGTAAATCTCGTTTCGCATGTACATGTGTAGTTGTTAATGCCGTCAATACAGGTACCATATGTTCCACATGATCCAATTAAGCAATCATCTATATCTTTAAACATGAATAATTCCTTGTTTTTTCTTAATATGCAATATATCTTATTTATCATCAAGAAATGATGTTACTTGAATAAATTTAAAAATGAAAACTATAACCCATTCAATACCCATATACCCATTTCTTTCTTTTAGATGGTGTCATAAGCGCAAAGAATATTGACTTATTTGAAACACGTTAAAATATGATATTAAATGCGCTGCAATTCTATAAATACAATGTATAAAGACGATTAGAACTATTTGAAATGCGTATGCAGATCTTGATATTGTTAGGTTTCCGACAGATTGCTTTGAAAAAACATGATAAGAGAATTAACGGCATAATTTCGAAAAAAAGCTTATTATATATCGCATAGCGCTTACGAGCCCCGGTCCAAATCATTATTTTTTCTTCAAACTGATTAATTATGATATTGTATCAGACATACCTGTTTCACAATTAATTCCAGAAAATCCAGGTGCACAAATGCAATTGTACCCATTAATTCCGTCAAAGCAGGTTCCGCCAAAGCCGCAGGGGTTTGAGGTGCATTCATCTTTATCTGTGACAATAATAAACATGAAAACATCAAAGATATCTTGATATTAACATGACAATATGAACTGAAGTGTAGGTTATGAGTTTCTTACTTTGGCATTTTCTATTTGAACTAATTGTTGTTTTTATGTGTTTTCTGTTTGTTTGTTTTGCTTTGTCTATTTCTTGAGTGTGTATATGCGCGCGCGGACTTGTGTGTGTGTGTGTTCGCGCGTGTGTGCGCGTGTGTGTGCGTAAGCGTGTGAGTTTTAGGACTTATTTTGTTTTCTTTGTTGTTGTTTTTCAATTCAGAAAAAATGTTCAATAATTTGGTTTGCTAAAAAGCATACATCAGTTTGAGCATACATCAGTTTGAGCATAAAACCATTTAGAGAGAGAGAAATGTTTTTGATCTTAAAAAAAGATTAACAAAGGCAAAATATCATACCGGGAATGTTTGACGCTGTTAAGCAGTTCCGGTTGCATAGGTCATCATGACAACAAAGGTCGCATGTTTGTTGCCTAGTTCTTTTCACATTTGAAACTTCACGTTTTCCAATTATAGAGATATGACTTCCCGTTTGATCTCTACAAGCCTGTGATATTAAGAAATAAAATGATAAAGCATTAGATAAATAAGTAATTTTGCCCCAATATCGGGGCGTCCGTTGCCTAGTTGTTAAGAAGGTTGACTTTAACGCACCAAACTTCTGGTAATGAGTAAATTTCAATACAATTACATCATTGCATGGTTAATACATTTCTGCAAATTTTGATACCAAATTTGCCAATATTTTGCTCATGTATACAAACAGTACGTACATGTATACAGAAGTAATTACGTGCACACTTTCATTTATAGCTGAGTGTTTATATGCCCGTTCATGGCTGTCCAAATATTTTATTGCAGGTACAATTCGTACAATACTATACGAAGGTACTATATCGACATATAATAAGTATTGTTCGTTCCTATGTCGTATGTATTGTATCGTGATATAACCCCTAAACATATCCCCTGGTTTAATTTGTTATATCACAATTATGTGTATATGTCCTAAATATTTCCCTTTGTTTGCGCTACGAAGTAGTTGAACTTTGCGGTTTTTTTTATTCTTCCGTTCAATTTGCTGTATTTGTTTCCGTGCCATTACAGGCCGAAACAGTTCCTCCTGTAAAAGGCAAGAAGAACCCTACGACATACACACAAAAACAAATTTAAAGTAACTTTAGATAAGAAATACTTACATGTTTCGATACACATTTGCTTGTTAGAACTTCATTTGAAAATAACTGTCTTCCCACAATGTTACATGTCTAAAAAATAAATCGTATGAAATCTATGTTCATCACTTGACAAATGACAAAATTCCTATTTGTTCTTGAAACATATATTTATTTAAAACTCCATCCATTTTAAAAAGGGATTATCCACAGATTCCCAATTAAAAATGCCATTTTCAGCTATTTTAGTGGATATTTTAAGATGTATTTTAAGGGAAAAACAACAAAAAGTACATCTGAAAATATATTTTACACAAAATTTATTTCATTTTGTTATAAAAATACAGCATATTATCACAAATAAATCATGATTTGTTCCGCCAGCAGAACATTTAGCAGTTCTTTCTGCGAGATAGCAAGAATCCAAAAATGCTAAAATGTTCTGCCGGCGGAACATTAAATAAAACATAAATTATATTAAGTTATTTTACAAAATAGTTCAGTCTTAAATTGTTCCGCCAGCGGAACATAAGTATGAAAACATGTATCAAAACATACTAGGTTATAACCATAAGTGATTCTGTTCTGCCGGCGGAACATTTATTAATTACAACATACCACAATTCTGAACAACCTTTGCAAGATTTTGTAACAAATGCATTTCTTAAAGTAAAAATCAAATAAAAGAACTCATTGGAATTGTTCCGCCAGCAGAACAGATATATGATTCCAGTCCATATGAATGCAAAAATAAGATAGAACCATAAAAATTCCTGTTCCGCCTCCGGAACATTTACTTATAACAACATATCAAAATTCTTAACAACCTTTAAAGGTTTAATCAAAAATATAACTTTTACTCAGAAAGAATATCATTTAATAAAATTGATTTGAAATTGTTCTGCCGATGGAACAAAAGTATGATAACATCAATTTAAACATCTATAGGATATAACCATAGGTGATTCTGTTCTGCCGGCGGAACATTTATTTACTACAAGATACAATTTTTAACACCTTTGCAAAATTTTGTCAAAAATATATTTCTTAAATTAAAATCAAATAATGTAATCATTTGAAATTGTTCCGCCAGCAGAACAGAAATATGATTCACTCTAACGCAAAAGAAAAATTTATAAATTCATAAAAAATCCTGTTCCGCCGGCAGAACATTTACTTATTACAATATACTAAAATTCTTAACAACCTTTTTAGGTTTAATCAAAAATATAATTCAGAAAGAATATCATTTAATAACAAGAGCTGTCGGTAGGACAGCATGCTCGACTATTCTTAGTGCTTGATGGTAAAAAAATGCCTGATACAGTTACCTCCTCCTGTTTACAGGTTGGGGTCATGATGGTGAACAAGTGTGCAAAGTTTCAAAGCCATATGTCAATGGACTTTGAAAATATTTGAACTATTACAAAAAACTTTAACGTAAATTCTAAGTCGAAAAAGGGGCATAATTCTGTCAAAATGCTTGATAGAGTTACCTCCTCCTGTTTACAGGTTGGGGTCATGATGTTGAACAAGTGTGCAAAGTTTCAAAGCCATATGTCAATGGACTTTGAAAATATTTGAACTATTACAAAAACTTTAACGTAAATTCTAAGTCGAAAAAGGGGCATAATTCTGTCAAAAATGCTTAATAGAGTTACCTCCTGCTGTCTACAGGTTGGGGTCATGATGTTGAACAAGTGTGCAAAGTTTCAAAGCCATATGTCTATGGACTTTGAAAATATTTGAACTATTACAAAAACTTTAACGGAAATTCTAAGTCGAAAAAGGGGCATAATTCTGTCAAAATGCTTGATAGAGTTACCTCCTCCTGTCTACAGGTTGGGGTCATGATGGTGAACAAGTGTGCAAAGTTTCAAAGCCATATGTCAATGGACTTTGAAAATATTTGAACTATTACAAAAACTTTAACGTAAATTCTAAGTCGAAAAAGGGGCATAATTCTGTCAAAATACTTGATAGAGTTACCTCCTCCTGTCTACAGGTTGGGGTCATGATGGTGAACAAGTGTGCAAAGTTTCAAAGCCATATGTCAATGGACTTTGAAAATATTTGAACTATTACAAAAACTTTAACGTAAATTCTAAGTCGAAAAAGGGGCATAATTCTGTCAAAATGCTTGATAGAGTTACCTCCTCCTGTCTACAGAGGTTGGGGTCATGATGGTGAACAAGTGTGCAAAGTTTCAAAGCCATATGTCAATGGACTTTGAAAATATTTGAACTATTACAAAAACTTTAACATAAGTGGTTACGCCGACGCTCGGGTGACTGCAATAGCTCTACTTATTCTTATCGAATAGTCGAGCTAAAAATTGATTTGAAATTGTTCTGCTGGCGGAACAAAAGTTTGATAACATCAATTTAAACATAGGATATAACCATAAGTGATTCTGTTCTGCCGGCGGAACATTTATTTATAACAAGAAAATTCTTAACAACCTTTTTAGGTTTAATTAAAAATATAATTCAGAAAGAATATAATTTAATAAAATTGATTTGAAATTGTTCTGCCGGCGGAACATAAGTTTGATAACATCAATTTAAACATAGGATATAATCATAAGTGATTCTGTTCTGCCGGCGGAACATTTATTTATAACAAGAAAAATCTTAATAACCTTTTTAGGTTTAATCAAAAATATAATTCAGAAAGAATATCATTTAATAAAATTGATTTGAAATTGTTCTGCCGGCGGAACATAAGTTTGATAACATCAATTTAAACATAGGAAATAATCATAAGTGATTCTGTTCTGCCGGCGGAACATTTATTTATAACAAGAAAAATCTTAATAACCTTTTTAGGTTTAATCAAAAATATAATTCAGAAAGAATATCATTTAATAAAATTGATTTGAAATTGTTCTGCCGGCGGAACATAAGTTTGATAACATCAATTTAGACATAGGATATAACCATAAGTGATTCTGTTCTGCCGGCGGAACATTTATTTATAACAAGAAAATTCTTAACAACATTTTTAGGTTTAATTAAAAATATAATTCAGAAAGAATATCATTTGATAAAATTGATTTGAAATTGTTCTGCTGACAGAACATAAATATGATAACATCAATTTAAACATAGGAGATAATCATAAGTGATTCTGTTCTGCCGGCGGAACATTTATTTATAACAAGAAAAATCTTAATAACGGACTTTGAAAATATTTGTGGTATTACAAAAACTTTAACATAGGAGGTTACGCCGCCACTCGGGTGACTACAATAGCTATACTTATTCTTATCAAATAGTCGAGCTAAAAATGTTTGATTTTTATACATGTAGGTAAGATTAAAAACATAGTTCAAACATGAACAGCATTAAATAATTAATTTTGTTGTATTTACACTAATGTCTAAATAAAATTGTAAACTAGAAAAGTATCCAAAG